GGAAAGAACCGCACAAAGCCGAGCTGCATTTCTGCACAGCAGCGAAAACTCACCAGAACAGCCTCAGCAGCCAGTCATACACCCGCTTGAAGAGGCCCGCCATGGTGGGTGGATGTTGAAAAGTGTCGGTCCTTGGGAATAATGTGGGTGGGATCTCTCTCTCTCTCGCAAGGACGATTGCCGGGCGAGTTGCGCAAGGTTGCGGGAAGACGAGACTGATACAGCGGGTGGCCGAGACCAGGTAATTTGGATCCGGATGCTCAGAGAGTGATGGGGGGGGGGGATGGTGGGGGTTACATGTGTTTATTGAGCAATTGTAGAACCAGATCGCTATTTGCGCAAATGATGTGACGGTGTAGCGATCGGATGAAGCAGCGCTTGTGGCAATCCCAGAGCGCAGGGCGAAGAAGCACGCACCGCGCACAGGCGTCTCGTCGCCACGGACACGACAAAGGGCAGAGGGAGGCTCTTGTTTTTCTACCGGTTCTATTTGTATTACCCTATTACTCTCTTGCTGGCCGCGACTTGCAGCGAGCGGTGGCGGGCTGGCGGGCTTGTCGGGGGGGAGCTCGAGGCGGGCCGTGGATCGAAGTCGAAGGCGAGGGCGAGGGCGGCAGCGCGACGGCGGAGATCTGGGGGGTTTGGAGGTGATGGATGTGCCGGCCGTGGGCAAGGTGCAGGAGGAGGTCGAACAGCGTTGTATTCGGGGATGGGCCTTTCTTGCAGAGGAGCAGATGAGGCGCGTCCGCATTCAAAGCCAAAGCCAAAGGGCCGTCCAAAGAGCATCCCCGCAACGCTGCACTCGCTAGGTCCCTTACGGGTCCTTGTTGGCGGGCCGGGACGGTATGCTCGGTATGGTGATATGATATGATATGATCTGATATGATATGTTTGACGCCTGCAGAATGCTGTTGTTGATGTGATGTGAGAAGAACAGCACGGCGAGAGGAGCATCAATCCACAGCTGCCTTACCTTGCCTCCGTTGCAATTGTATAATGAATTGTATAGGTAAGGTATTGTTCAACAATCACTTCAACGCTCTCGCGCAGCGGCAAGACGGAGCAGCCTGGGTCACGGGTCCCGACTAGCCACAGTGGGGCTGAGCTGCTGATTGCTGCCCGATAAGACCACGTGATCGCCGTCGTGCCGGGAAAATTTAATTTTCTTGTTTGCGCGCCGTGAGATATCTCCGTCTCTGTCCAAACACGCACATCTCTCAATGGAGCTTCGTAGCATGGTCTGAAGCATCAATAGAAACATCGTAAGCTTCAATCCCTCTCCCGTGTTCTCCCTTGTCAAATACCTACCAAATGGCCCCCCCCCAGACAAAGCTCTAACATCCCCCCCTCCAGCTCGACCATGGCTCCCTCCTACAAGGTCAAGACCCCCCCTCCAACCAGCACAAGCTGGAATCACGAGTTCGATACGCTTCGCAGGGAGGACCTCTTTCGACATCCACCCGAGGATCATACCGCATACCCCGCGCTCAAAGAAGCCGTCGCCCCCCATGTCGAATCTTTCAACGCCGTCTTCGAAGAGCACGGCTTAATAAACAAGGCTCTGAAAGATATTGGCACAATCTCCTTCCTCGATGGCGATGCGCGAGCCCCGACGGAGGGGAAGAATAAGTTGGATATCAGGATCAAGCAGGTCTATCTGGGGAAGTCGATGCTTCCCGACACAAACAAAAAAACCTTTAGAAATCGAGAGGTCCTGCCATCGGAATGCAGAGAGCGGCATGTCACCTACCGTGGGCTGCTGACTGCAAAGTTTGAATACAGAATCAATGATGGTGATCCATATGAGTTCACCCGAGACCTCGGAAAGTTCCCGCTCATGTTGATGGTTGGTACGGCCACCCGTATAGATATTTGGGATGCTAACAGCATGGAAGTCAAACAAATGCCACCTTGAGAAAGATTCGCCGGCACAGTTGGTACGGCACAAAGAAGAATCAGAGGAGCTGGGAGGTTACTTTATCGTGAACGGGATAGAGAAACTCATTCGACTCCTGATTGTCAATCGAAGAAATTTCCCGATGGCGATTGTACGGTCTTCTTTCCTGAATCGAGGGACGGGTTATACGAAATATGGAGTTCTCATACGATCAGTGCGACCCGACCAGACTTCCCACACAAACGTTCTGCACTACATTAACGACGGAAGCATGACGGTGCAAGTAGCATGGCGAAAGAGGATATACCTTGTACCCGTCGTCATGATCATGAAGGCATTGGTGGAAACGAACGACCGTGAAATATACGAGGGCCTCGCTGGCCTTGCAGGCACCAAAAGTGGTGAGAATTCGTACTTGTCCGAGCGGGTAGAATTACTGTTGCGGAAATACAAGGAGGTGCACGGGCTCTATTCGAAAAGCCAGAATCGATCGTACTTGGGAGAGAAGTTCCGTTACGTGCTGAACTTACCTGATACCATGTCAGATTACGAGGCTGGAACCGTATTCCTTCGAAAGATGGTGCTCGTGCATCTTGGGAATGTCAATGTAACCGAAGCTCAGGACAAGGATAAGTTCAATATGCTTCTGTTCATGATCAAAAAGTTATATGCTCTTGTTTCAGGGGAATGCGCAGCGGACAACCCAGATGCAGCCTCGAATCAGGAGATCCTGCTGGGTGGGTTCTTATACGGTATGCTGGTGAAGGAGCGGCTCGAAGACTACGTCGGGGTTCAATTGCGGAAAGCGGTGCGCCAGTGGGTGATGAAGAGCCCGGAGAATAAATTTACGTCTCCCGAGTTTTCAAGGGAGTTTCCCACAAAGATCTGCCTCAGGACGAACGCCAATTTGGGGGGTGCTCTAGAATATTTCATGTCGACTGGGAATCTTGTCAGCCCATCCGGGTTGGATCTACAGCAGACGTCTGGCTTCACAGTCGTCGCCGAGAAAATCAACTTCCTTCGATTCCTCGCCCATTTCCGAATGGTTCACAGAGGTAGCTTCTTTGCCCAGATGAAGACTACAACTGTCCGAAAGCTGCTCCCAGAGAGCTGGGGATTCCTCTGTCCTGTTCATACTCCCGATGGAGGTCCCTGTGGTCTTCTCAACCATCTGGCCCACAAATGCAAAGTCCTCACCCACAGTGTGGATGTATCAGCAATCCCGGAGTTAGTCGCTGGTATGGGTGTGGCCAAACACGGCTCTGGTTCCATCAACGAAAGTGTCGTCGTGCAGCTGGACGGTAGAGTCCTAGGATGGTGTACGCCGAAGCAGGCCCAGAGAATTGCGGATACGCTACGATACTGGAAAGTCGAGGGATCACATAAAGTACCCAAGGAGCTTGAAATTGGGCACTTCCCGATTTCACGCGGGGGACAATTTCCTGGTATCTACATGGCTTCAACCCCAGCCCGTATGATCCGACCGGTCAAGTATTTACCTCTGGGCATGGAGGACTTCGTTGGACCCCTCGAGCAACCTTACATGTCCATTGCTGTCACCGAACCTGAGATTGTTTCCGGCGAGTCTACCCATGTTGAATTCGATCCTACAAACATCTTATCTATTCTCGCAAATATGACCCCCTTCTCCGATTTCAACCAGTCTCCTCGAAACATGTATCAATGTCAGATGGGAAAGCAATCGATGGGAACTCCAGGCACGGCGCTTAGCTACCGGACAGACAACAAGGCATATCGACTTCAAACTGGGCAAACACCTATCGCGAGAGCAGCTCTGCACAATACCTATGGTTTCGACAACTTCCCCAACGGCACGAACGCTGTTGTTGCGGTCATTTCTTACACCAGCTACGATATGGACGACGCCATGATAATCAATAAGACTTCCCACGAGCGCGGGTTCGGTAACGGATGCATCACCAAAGTCAAGGTCTACGATCTGGCGGAAGGTCATAAGAAGTCTGGGCAGCAAGCCCTATCGAACAAGAATGTCAGGAAGCTTTTCGGCTTTGCTCCCGGGGGGCTAGTCAAGGCTGCGTGGAAGAAAGACATCGACCAGGACGGCTTGCCCTTCATTGGACGAAGGGTCCAAGAGGGAGATATAATCTGTGCGTGGCATACTGTCCGCCCGGATTACACTGGTACCAAGCTTGTGAACAGGGATGGGGAGACACACTTCTACAAGTATAAGGATAAGGAGCCTGCCTATATCGAGGAAGTGCGCATCATTGGCAGCGACCACGGAACTGCGCCAATGCAGGCCATTTCAGTCAAATTCCGCGTCGCTCGACGTCCAGTCATCGGGGATAAATTCTCTTCTCGGCACGGGCAGAAGGGTGTCTTGTCTCAACTGTGGCCCTCTGAAAACATGCCCTTCTCGGAGTCGGGAATCCAGCCCGATGTCATCATCAACCCGCACGCCTTCCCGTCCCGAATGACCATTGGTATGTTCGTCGAATCGCTCGCCGGCAAGGCTGGCGCGCTGCACGGGCTCGCTCAGGACAGCACGCCCTTCAAGTTCGACGAGGAGCACACCGCTGGCGATTACTTTGGGGAACAACTCAAGAATGCTGGGTACAATTACCACGGTAATGAGCCGATGTATTCCGGGATCACTGGCGAGGAGTTATTCGCGGACATCTTCATCGGGGTCGTGTACTACCAACGGTTGCGGCACATGGTGAATGATAAGTTCCAAGTGCGGACGACGGGACCCATCAGTAACCTGACGGGCCAGCCCGTCCAGGGACGGAAGAGGGGAGGTGGTATCCGTGTGGGAGAGATGGAGCGAGACTCGCTGCTGGCGCACGGGACGGCCTTCCTCCTCCAAGACCGGCTGTTCAACTGTTCCGACTACAAGAAGACGTGGATCTGCAAGGATTGCGGTAGCTTCCTGTCGATCCAGCCGACGGTGGCCGCCTTCGCGTCGCGGCGGAAGGGGTCAGGAATCGTGCGCTGCCGCCGCTGCGCGCACCGGCCGGGAGAGTGGACGGGGGATGAGCCGGAGTTCGCGGACCAGTGCCAGGTCTGGGAGGATGCTCAGGGGAACCAATACATTGGGGGGGAGAACACGACGGTTGTGGCGGTGCCCAGCGTGCTGAAGTACCTGGATGCCGAGCTGGCGGCCATGGGGATCCGGTTGAAGTACAATGTGAGCCGCGTGGGCGAGCCGGTGGTGGTGAAGGGGAAGAAGGGATGGCAACGGCGCATGTAGGATTAGCGGGTACGGTAGGAAAATCTAGATTATGGGAAATGGATCAAGCTTGACACGAGCCATGTGAAGCACAGTGTGGTGGTGAGAATGCACGGGGGAATTGAATCGACGAGGTGAGTTGCGGGAAAAGGGGTTGAGGAAAAAGGGGGTGTGGAAAGGGGGGCGAGGAAAAGGAGCAGGAGCCGAGGGAAAGGAGAACTGCGAAAAGGGAGACGAGGTAGGGTGTTCGTTGCCTGACGCGGCCTCAGGTATCTTCCCGCCGCCACCGATGACTCTCTTACGTAAGAAGCCGTCACGGGAAGATGGGTGCCTGACTCCTCAGGCACACACCCCACTTCGCGCGGGCTTAGCGCGGATGGTGTGATTGTGCATGTGCATTGATAGGATTTGTGCAGCGGATGATGTGAAGAATGGCTCAGAGCAGCTCATGCCTTAGCGGAATTCCCCATTTAACCATAAGAAGACCTTTTTCGGCGCCATTTTCTCTCGAGTCAAAAACACCATCAACACCACACATCTGAACACTTCGTGCACTCCATCACTCCATCAACTCTCATCTCCCGTCCCTATATCACTCCTCCAGATCCAGATTCACCATGGCAACTGAAGAGAGAGCTGTTCCGTAAGTCGCCCCGTCCAAAAAACTGGAAAAAATTACCCCTCCATCGTGCTATTTCACCCCTCTTTGCGACGTCGGGATCAAGGGATCTTGCGAATAGCATCAGATATTCCGTCTCTTCTGCTGCATCAACTTCATCCAAGATACCACCAGACGGGACATCTCTTGTATTGTCTCTGTGTTCTGCGCAAACGATGCTTCTCTCTTCTCTTCCTTTGCCCCGCTCCGCCCCTCTCCGCTCTCCTCTCCTTTCTCCTCTCCTTTCTTCTCCTCCCCTCTCCTCCCATCTCCTCTCCCACCCCAAGACTTGGCCACTGACCACTTCCTCCTCTCCAGCCTCCGCTTGGGTTCCATCGCCCCCAACTTCCAGGCCGACACCACCAACGGCCCCATCGACTTCCACGAATTCATCGGCGACAACTGGGTCGTCCTCTTCTCCCACCCCGAGGACTACACCCCCGTCTGCACCACCGAGCTCGGCGCCTTCGCCAAGCTGGAGCCCGAGTTCACCAAGCGCGGCGTCAAGTTGATCGGTCTCTCCGCCAACACCGTCGAGTCTCACGGAGGATGGATCAAGGACATCGACGACATCACCGGCAGCAAGCTGACCTTCCCCATCATCGGTGACAAGAACCGCCACGTTGCCTACCTCTACGACATGTGAGTGCTTCCTCGGCTTCTCATATCTCCTCCCCACCCCCCCCCCAGACTGACCCCCCACCGCCTAGGCTGGACCACCAGGACACCACCAACGTCGACTCCAAGGGCATTGCGTTCACCATCCGCTCCGTCTTCATCATTGACCCCAAGAAGACCATCCGTCTGATCCTGTCCTACCCCGCCTCCACCGGCCGCAACACCGCCGAGGTCCTCCGTGTCGTTGACTCTCTCCAGACCGGTGACAAGCACCGTGTCACCACCCCCATCAACTGGGTTCCCGGTGACGATGTCATCGTCCACCCCAGCGTCAAGAACGAGGAGGCCAAGACCCTGTTCCCCAACTTCCGCATCGTCCGACCATACCTCCGATTCACCCCTCTGCCCAAGGAGGAGACCTCCGCCGCCGTCTAAATGTGCAGGGCGAGGAGAGAAGGATATACGCGATGATATGAGGCTTCTTATGATAATGGGAGGGAGTTAGTGCAGTTCAACAGCATACAACCCCGAGGTATCGTGATACCGGGAGCAAGCGCTTTTTTTATGGACGATATGGGCAAGCAGTAAAGAAAATACCACTCCACTTGTTTCTTTGCAACGTGGCTCGATGCGTGAATAGTGACTCCAAAACGATATGTGCAGCGAGTATATCTTTCGATTCGTGATGCCAGTGAAAAAAAGTCCTCGGCTCCCCCTCGTCACCCCTTCCCCCTTTCAAGGGTCTCCATGGATCCACCCCAAAGCTTAATGTCTTAAGAATTCTCCGTAGGACCAGAAGAGCCAGTTGAGCCGCACAACCCTCCGCAAGGAACAAGACACGGGCGATGTGGTATATGATTGGGCCATGGCTTCCTGGATAATCGAGCCTCTGTTAAAGACTTTGCCGCGACGGCCTCTGGCCAATGGACGGGCGACGGGTCCACTGGGATCTTCTGTCGGCAACGTCGACCGGCCTTGCCGCCTTGCTCTCTTCATCCCGTGTACGGGTAATAATGGGGTCAATCGGCTCATATAAATACGATAATAGGGCCCCGTCCAGCACGACGATGGAGAAGAAGAAGAAGACATATCGATATCGAGTCTCAATTGCTTGACATCCTCCCAATTGGTCGACTTTTCATCCTTGTATATATAATCCATCCGGGATCCCTCCCTTGCCGTACCAGACCCCCGAGACATCTCCCCCGCAAAGCAAGATGCTGCACCACTTGATGGTGGGCACCTGGACCCCTCCTGGGGCCATCTTCACCTTTGAGTTTGACGATGTAGCTTTGACGCTGAAGATGATCAAGAGGACCGCCATTCCTGAAGATCAGCCTATCTCGTGGATGACCTTCGACGTGAGTTTCTCAGCCCTCTCCTCCCGTCCTTTGTTCAAGGAGCCTGGACTCACATCCCCCGGCCTTTAGCATGCGAAGAAGACCATCTATGGTGCATCGATGAAGAAATGGGCCAGTTATGCCGTCAAGAGCCCTACAGAAATTATTCACCAGGCCTCTCATCCCATGTCACATGACCGTAAACCTCTCTCCCTCCCCCCCTTTTTTTTTATATGCCCCCTCTTCTAACAGAGCGACCAGCCAGAGCCGCGAGTCTCGACACCAACACGCGCGCCATCTTCGTGCTGGCCGCGAAGCAGGCGCCGTTCAACGTGTATGGCAATCCCTTCTACGACCACGCCGGGTTCGGGAACGTGTTCTCGGTCGACTCGGAGGGCGCGCTGGTGAAGAACATCCAGAACTACGAGTACAGCCCGGAGACGGGCATCCACGGCATGGTGTTCGATCCCACCGAGACGTACCTGTACTCGGCGGACCTGCGCGGGAACAGCATCTGGACGCACAAGAAGGACAAGGAGACGGGCCAGCTGACGCTCGTCAACCGTCTGCGCGCCCCAGCGCCGGGCGACCACCCGCGCTGGGTCGCGCTGCATCCCAGCGGGAAGTACCTGTATGTGTTGATGGAGGCCGGGAACCGACTCGCCGTCTACGTGATCGACGAGCAATCGCACATCCCGACCTTCACGCAGCTGACGTACCCGCTGATCCCGCCGGGGATCCCGAACCCCAAGATGTACCGGTCGGACGTGTGCACGCTCTCGCACAGCGGCCGGTACCTGTACGCGACGTCGCGGGCCAACGCGGCGCACCTGACGGGCTACATCGCGGCCTTCAAGCTGGGCCCCGCGGGCAACGTGGAGCGCCAGATCTGCCTGAACCCGACACCGACGAGCGGAGGGCATTCCAACGCCGTCAGCCCGTGCGACTGGAGCGATGAGTGGGTGGCGCTGACGGACGACCAGGAGGGCTGGCTGGAGATCTACCGCTGGAACGAGGAGTTCTTGGGGAGGGTGGCGCATTGCGATGTGAAGGAGCCCGGGTTTGGGATGAATGCTATCTGGTATGATTAAAGGGCTTTGAATGCTGTTATTGCACAGAACCCGGAAACTTTCCTATCTTGTCCATGACTGACTAGATAATGTAAACTACTTGCTATTGTTCCTTTTGAGGACTGTGATCTGTACAGTATGTCGGTATTAGCCAAGCTAAGTATTACATATACATATATATATGCATTCCCTATCCTTCCACACTTCTTCGCTCTTTCGAAACCTAAAGTCCTAATAGCTTTAACTAAAATCTAAGAAGAATCCTAATATCAAGAATAAATAGGATGTAATTTAGTATTCATGAACCAGTAAAGTCGCTTTAAATTAAAGTTCAGGAGAAACAATTTCGTGGAAAAGAGAGTCTTAACCATTCGAGGATTTCCGGGGAAAAAAAGAAAAAAAGGGGGAGGGGAAGGAAATCGCCTATTCTGGGAAAAGAAACAAAACCTCTCCCCATCCCTCCCTCACTCACCCTACTAACCACCACCAACCCATCATCAACAAACACCGTCATGTATCCCTTCAACGCCGAAAAAACCGTCGAACTCTTCTTCGAGCTCTACGCCGTTCTCGTAAACGGTAAACCTAGCCTACATTCCCCTCGACGCCCTCTTATTCCTACTACACTAACTCCCCCCTTGCGATGTCGCTCGTTGGGGTCCAACTATGGACCCGGTCGTCTTAGATCTCGTTAAGAATCTACTGTACTTGAAAGGGAGACGTGGATTTACGATTGCGCCTGGGACGGTGAGTAAGGATCTGAGTAGGGATTTGGGCTATGCGCAGCATCCGATGGAGTGGGCGGACGGAGAGTATGAGTATGTGGAGAGATGGAGTTGGTGTTTGACGGATAGGGGTCTGGGTGGTTGATTTTGGATACTAGGAAAGGTTCGTTAGTGCTGTGATTGCTATCCTATTTCTCCCTCAGTCGTCGTCTGTCTTATTTGCGACCACTTTCTTTTTTGGGGGGGTTCATATGCATAGAGGTTTAAGTGGGATATGAACATTTTCTTCTCAAGATACAACGGGGTTACAATGCTCAAGTCAAGCATTGTTTTCTGTTGTTCGAGCATTTCTGGATGATGCTGTCTATTAAGCCCGAGTAAGCACGATGTTTACAGCTTCATATATAAATTGGCTTTATATCTAGGGGCCTCGTTATTTCCAGGAGCTTCTTTTTTTCTTCATCAGAACACAGCTCTTCGGCTGATGACATTTAACCCTGTTCCTTCATTTGGGAGAGCAAGCAATTATAACTCTTTCCTAGGCACCATCACAAAAGTTGACTGGGATAACGAAAATGGCAGACCAGAAAACACTCCTGAGTACTACTATAACTACCAAGAAGCCGTACCTATCGAAGACGTGCTCGAACCATAGGTCAAGCGCTTTGCTGACTTGGAATGGATCCCTTGGAACGGGCCTGCGAGTGAGACTGGTGAGATCCTGAGGGCTGATCTGAACACGGAAGAGGATCGAGTTCATGGGAGTTGGCCCTGTTTTTCCCTTCTCTGGTCTTGCTTGTGATTTGTTTTCTGGATAGCGCTGATCTCGACATTTAGTATTAAGTTATGAAAGAAATGTACCAAAGTCATGGGTGGCCACAAAACTTCCGGACTGATGAGTTCACGGCGGCAAGGGATGCTTATATTCAACGGGTTAAGGAGTCAAATTGGTTGAGAGGAGACGCGAGAATGAGGCAACAACTGCACGGGGAGCTGTGAACAAGTAAGGAGTGTTATTTCTCTGCGACGGTGTATAAAAGCTTGTATCTGATGCAAGGTAATGACAATTTTATACATAATTTGTAAATCTCCACTGCGCCGCCGGCAAGGACTTTATCTATAGGGTCTCGGTTTCAGCATTGTCATTTTCAACAGTCAAGGAAATATCATATATATCGAGGGCAGTGAGATACTTCTTACGACTTAATGACATCCTGAGAAGTGAAGTCGCCTCAAAAATTTGAGATAGGGAAGCTTTTGGAATAAAGTCTGACTTACGAATGACGATGCCACCTAATATTGGGTCCTCGCTGTCGCAAAAGGTTTGGGAAATGGGTGCTGCCCACACGCTCTGACAGCACAAGACTGCGTATGCACCGCTCTTACACGCCTATCGATCATCGATGTATTAGTAGCTTTCAATCTTGCAGGAGACGAGAGCTATTAAGACATGACTCTGAAGCTTCCCCAAGAAGGGACATGCGAGGTCCGAATTCCTTCCTCACAAAGGTCTATTTCTGGGAAGTCGCGCCAGGTCACGCTGACTAGGTAATTCTCGATTCTTTCAAAAAGGTAAATTCAGACGAGAAGTATATACATACCACCGCTTCGCCGTCCGGTTGGGAGTTGTATGCTAATGCAAGGTATCATGCTGGGCACAGAACGTCACACTCTTTTGGAGTTCCGTACCACTACAATATTCCCAAGTTAGCATTCCTCTTCTATGTGATCAAGAGCATACTGTGCCAGTGTGTATGTGGATCTCGCTGGTCTCTGTACTAGAAATGTAAAAGAAGAGAGCCTTTGATCCGAGAGAATGACTTACTTTGCAACCAGTCGTTTGGGCATTTGCTGCCATACAGAAAGCGCGCGTCGTTCCACCATAGCCGCAGGTTAACCCATTGTCTGCTATAAGGTCTACATCTGCTTCCATGATCTGTACACAAAGTAAAGTTAGCAGAGTACACGGTATTGAGTACAATCAAAGACCAGGAGAAAGTGCGGGAGTGAGAAGGCTCTACTTACTCTTCCAGAGGCGTAGGCTAAAGTCCTAACAGCTTTAACTAGGATTTAGAAAGAATCCTAATATCAAGGAGAAATAGGATATTATTTAATAGTCATGAACCAGTGAAGTCGCTTTAGAGTTCCGGAGAAACAATAGGGCGAGGAGAAGGAAATCGACTATCTGGGAAAGATACAAAACCTCCCCCCTCACTCACTTTCCGGTTAGTATGATTATTGATTACCGTTATTCTGCAGGCCCGGATTTGAGGAAAGCTATGTATGTGTGTAAGCTGCCTCTTCACCAGCCGTTTAGGTCTCAATTATATCATTCATTACTTTAGGTAATAGATACCACCCCCTATTCCTAACCGAAGTAGCAACAGAATTCATTACACCGGATCAACTACCCATTCCATGACCAAGATGGTGTTTGTTTCCCTTCTAAAATCTAGAAAGGGACAGGTTGGTTCGACACTGTTTCTTTCTATAGGTAGTTCTTTCTTTTATGATGCTGCCCATTTTGAGCAACTTCACTATTATTATGTCTTCTAAGCTGGTATGGGTAAGCTAGCTGCTGCTTTGTTTGCTCCCACTATTTTCGACCGGTGACTTTTGATTGATTTGGAGACCGAGACCTACAGGGCATTCAGTACCTAGATGTTCTAAAATCGTAGTGGCTAAAACCTTATGCGAGTCTAAAGGTCTGTATAAGACTGTCTACACAGATACCTTCTCCCTAACTTTGTCCCTAAACAAGAAAGCTAAAACCGTTATCTTTGCCTTGTTAAATTCAAAAGAGTTCTTTTTACGTAGTTAATTTAGGGCAGCGTCTCTATACTTTGTAGTGTCAAAAACAACGGCTAGGAAAGAGTCCGCTAATCTTATGATCTGTGTTATAGTTCCCTTTTTTACTATAGCGTCGACATAGATCCTTAGTTCCCTAATTACTTTTGAACGGTAGCTTCTTATAGACTTTAGGACGGACAGCCACAGGGAGCGGTTATCCTCGGTTAACTCCTTCTTGTCCAGCTCTGAAAGTCTGGCTTTTGCCGGATTAAACGAAGCAGTGGTGGGTTCTGGAGGAGACGGGGTATGAGCAGGTGGTGTTTCGATCGTAGTGGTGTCCTGCGGCTTAGTTAGCAGGTAGAACTTTAGATCGGCACCGTATTTGTCTTACTCTGGTCTTGCGTCTTTTCTTGCTTTCACTTAGGCTGCGCAGAAACCCATGGGTCCCCACTAAATGGGTTGGGTACCCACCCTATAGGGTGGGTTATAGTGAATAGGACCTAACCCATAGGTCCCTAAATAAATCTACGACCTAACCTATAGGGTAGACCCAACCTATAGGTACAGTATATCCTAAGGCACTAAGGCACCTTTACACTTACGCGATACCTAAGGTTATAATCATTAATTAGTATAAGGATTAGTATAAAGATTAGTATAAAGATTAGTATAAAGATTAGTATAAAGATTAGTATAAAGATTAGTATAAAGATTACTTAGATTAGTATAAAGATTAGTATAAAGATTAGTATAGTCATCCTAAGTTTAAACGATTATAAAATAAATAAATCAAAATAGTTTTATATATATTTATTTTAGTACTTAGGCTCTACTATCCTTAAGTCCTTGCCTGCTTTGTTACGCGATCTAAAATAGATCTTCTATCCTGTAATTCCCGTACCTGTTTCCTTAGCGTATTAATACCCTTAGGAGTCTCTAGCTTAGATCCTAGAGACAGAGTTAGTAAAACCGACTCTACGCTATTACGATCTCTATTAACTACTAGCTTAAGAATGTCCTTATCCTTAAGGTCTTCTAGTAGATCGTAGATTAACAGATCTTATACGGTATTCCTCTTCTTACGCTCTACTATTTGTGTACTACGTATTTTACGTATAGACATAGAGAGTACCTAGGTATTATCTTAAGCTATAGAACGAGCCTATAAGAGCCTCTTATGTGTAATAGTATTAAGGCGTCTCTATGTCTATAGTGTTTACGCTTAATAGCCTGGCCGGTTTAGTTCTCCCTCCTTATTACTAATATAGTAATCTACTACCTACGTGTCGACTTCCTTTAGACGTAAGTTAACAGATGTTTCCCGCTCCTTTAGCTTAGCTTCTATCTCTTCTTTAGTTATACTATTAACATTAATAGTATCGGAAAGTATCCTTCTAAGCTCGTTACCCTACTCCTCTTAAAGTTAAGAGAAAAAAACCAACATAAGGGCATAGATAGCTAGAGGTTTAAGTTAGCTATAACAATAGCTACATATATTACGTAAAAAATTAAAGAGGCGCTTAATACTAACGCCTATAAGAGGAATATAGAGCAAGTCTCTAGCTATCGCTATAAGGCTAGGGAGACGAGTCTCGAGCTACTACTAAACTAAGAGGGGTATACAGTTATTAGGTTCTAGTTTTAAGTTAACGATTAGTATAAAGATTAGTATAAAATAACTTACTTATCCTAAGCTATATATCTACCTCGTTATCCGCTATATCTATACTTAACGATCGATCTTAATCTAATACTAATACTATAGTATCTATGTTTACCTCTTAGAGTATTTAAAGACGATCAGAATTTCTTGTACGATTACGATAGTTCTTTTAGTATAGTTTATAAAACTACTCCTTAAACTCTAATCACTAATCCTTTACTTTAAAATTAAGCTAATAATAGTTAGGATTAAAAGTCTCTAATTTTAACCTTAGGTTTAAGATTATACTTATCGTATAAATACTACTAAGATCTGTATATATCTTGTTATAGTATTAGTTAAGTTTAGCCTTAGTAGCGTTAATACCTTAGATAAGAATACGAACCTATAGTTTTTAATTAACTTTCGCCTTTAGTCGATAGTAGGATTTAGTTAGGCGTTTAAACAACTTGTTATAGATCTATAGAGTATATAGTAAGGTAATACTCTTTGTCTTACTAATAGTAGTCGTAAAAAAATTAAATAGGTAAAGAAGATTAATTAAATATCTGATTTAATCCTACTTAACGCTTAAGATCTAAAACAGGTATACTACTATATAATCTTTACAAAATTTGTTAATAGCGTTCTAAAGTCTTATTACCTAAATTAACATTAAAACAGTAGAGTCCTATCAAGTAGCTACGTCTATAATTAATTAAAGAGGACGTGTTAGATCATTACGAGCTAGCCTGTTTTAAATCTGTTTAAAATGTTCCTGTCTTTACTTACTCGAGTTAACTAGTACTACAAGCTTCTAAATCTATATCTAATTAGTATAAAGATTAGTATAAAAATTATAACTAATCTATACCTTTACTAGTATATATAGTATGCCCTAGTTACCTACCTGTCGTATCCTTTTAAGCTCGTCTATCTCTTACTTATTCCTTTAATCCTAAATAAATGTTTTATTTGTTAGTTATAGTCGAATTGTGCCTAAGAGCGCTTTTATAGTAAGCTAAAGAACATGTAATAGACAAGGAATATATTAGATTTACCTATTAAGAAAACGACTGTTCTTTAGTACGTCTTTAAGATACGAATTAATTTTATCTACTATCGTATAGTTATTACTAGTATTGTTAGTTGTAATTAATATTACTTGACTAGTTAGGTTAAGATTTGTTAGTAAATCATTAACAACTGTTACTAGGGCCTGTCTTAAATAAACATTACATAGGTTTTTAAACCTAATCAACTCCTCCTAAAGCACCTAGTCTTTATTAATGTAATATGCTATAACGCCTATAAACAAAAGGCGCGTAGGTGTTAGGTACGCTAACACGTAAGACTATAATAGCTTAGAAATTAAGTACAGGGTAACTATGTACTACGGCCGAGGTAATAGTAGGTATTAAAGAGTATAAGAATAGAGGGTAGAAAGGGGAAAGAAAGGGGGTTTAGAGATTAGTCTATAGTTAAAGTAGCGATATACCTT